TACTCGTTTTATCCTGCTGTCTGTCGGTCTCTCTGCCGAGACTTGTCACGCACTCACAGTGCGCTTTCGGAAACGATGCTCGTACTAGTCCAGGACAATGCGGTACACAGCGCGCTGGACGTTCTACATCAACGAGTTCTGTGGATTTCGAGGCATCTTGTGACGAACAAAGCGTTCTATAGGTGCTGTAGCCAGGTTCGTACAATTTAACTTTTGAAGCGTGCATTTTTTTCAGTCATTTGACCACGTATACTCTGGCAGTGCGGTAAAGCAAATCCAAGGAATCGATGTTCGCAGTGTCAAATCTCCCTTTACTGCAATGTCTGGTGTCAGAAGTGTGATCGAAAGCGACACTCGGAGTTTTGCAGTAGCGAGATGTCGAGGTTTGCAGTATGTACGTTCAAGGAATTTAATCTGATGTGCGCGGAAGACTGATAGGGTGGTTTAGATGGTCGGATGTCGGATGTGCGCGATGAACATTGGCTTGTGATGTATTTCACAGGACTGATTGTGGAATATCTCCACTTTCGAGAAAGTGAAGTTGTGTGTAAGCGCACACTTTATGCAGAGAAGTGTGGCATCGGGTCCCATGATGCTGTCATGATCATTGTTGATCTGAGTAGTGTCGTTGAACACGTGTCGTTCAGAATCGCTGGACCGCGAGAATGCGATCTCATAGCTACCAGCACGCCGGGACGATACACTTCGCTGGAGTACTACTCGGTGAACTCTCCCAAGGTCTTTGTTCAGTGGCGTGTCAAGTCGCTCTTTCGGCTGAATTTCTTTTTTGAAAGTGTAATTCATTACGTGTAGTCAAAGTACTAGCGTTACTGGTTGGCACGATTTGGCCGCGATCGTGTCCGGATGCTGACTCATGTGAGCAAGTGTTCAATGTACAGCAGCCATGAGGCGATGAAAGCCATACCATTGTTTGGCGTTTGGAGATAATCGATCTCTAAGTTGATGAGCTTCACTGAGCGCTCAATCGCTTCTCTGTTAAGGAGAGTCCTATAAGACAGATTGTGGGGCATTAGGATTGACGGGTACAAGGACGTGAAAATCAACGTCGCAATGTGGGCATCGTAGTAGCGTTTCCTGGGTTCAATGATCATAGCTCGTTCGTACTGATCGTCCGAGCCTGGAAGGAATCAGCTTTAGGTCGAGTACGCAGCGGCTATAACAGACCTTCTCCTTTCAATGCAGGAATGACATAATCTTCTTCATTGAGCTGGGGATGAAACCTTGATTGATTGAACTCTCGCAAGACGGTAAGCTACAATGGTGATTCAGTGAGACAGATTCAGTTCCTAGACAGGTGTCACTTTGAAGATGGAATGAGTTCGTACAACAAACATTGCTCGAAGCTCTCGTTCCACCTCCTTTCCCATAGATATCCATAACTCATCGCTTTACCGTTGCGCGTCCAGGGATGCCGCTCCGGATGCGCAAGCTCGATTGATTAGGGTGGTGGTTGGTGGATAACCCTCGTCTTGTGGGGTGATGCGTATAAGGAAGCAGCGCTTGGAAGTAGGGTCGCTCCACCTTAAGATGTGGGAGAAATCGACATGCACGCGGGACACGAGCTTGCTTGCTGAGCTGGGGGAACGGCGCTCTAAAGCAACCAAGTGAAGTACTACTGACTACAGTACATGTCTTATATACTACTACAGTAGTACTAGAACCTTCTACCTATGAGTCAAGGATGAGTAAGCCTCGGGGAGGCGGGACATAGTAATCCGGGTGAGCAGGAGCTACGGAAGCTACTCGAACATTGCAACATAGGACATACGGCAGAGGCAGCTGTTTGGCGAGCAAACGGAGCACGTAAGTCATTGGTGTCTTAGCAATGCGCGCGAGAAATGTGTCTGTCGCAGCGGCATCAAGAGTAAGCTTGGCACTTGCGAAGTCGGATTCGTCTAGGGTGGGTGCTGCGATTGCAATGCCGTATACAATCGATGCATGGCGGGGAAGTACTTCTTGATATATCGATAAGGGCTACATGATCAAAAACGGTTAGACATGCAAGCAGATCAGAATGAAAGACGAACCAGTAACATCGTGATTTGAGGTCTTCTTGACGGTGAAGACCTTTCCTTTTTCCGTGACAACACTTGTAGACCAGGTGCACCGACCCTCGCCATCCGTGCCGACATTGACCTGTGTGTAGAAGAGATGGACCGGGTTACTGATTTTGCAGCTCTGTCGAAGGTTCATGTAAGAATATGACAAAGAATTCTGAAGAATAGAACTACCTTGACTTCGACGTCTGGCTTGATGGCTGGGATGGAGTTGCTGAAGCTTGGGTTTTACTTGATTTCTTAGGCGGTTTGATGGTTTAGACGTCAATGCGACGGTCTTCATGGGCTGAGAGTTTGGAAGCTAATGGTGAGCGGTTCGTTGTCGTGATTTCACGACATCAGGACCTACCTCGTCATTTGTCTCCACATCATCATCTGATTATGCATCTGTGTAGTCGTCATCAACGGCGGTGTTCTCATCATCATCCATCTCCACATCGACAGCCTTCTCGTGGCCAGTAGACCGCCGGGATGATCTGGCGTTTAGGTTGATTGGACGCTCGGTACTGTGCGTATGTTTCCTTACTCGTTCTTTTCCTCCTCTGCAAGTCCATCGTGGAGGCGCTTCAAGTTCTTGTGACGATGTCCGCGGGCCTCAAGAGCGTCACCTGTGAGTTATACTACATAGAATAACGAGACACCGGACGTACCAACTGGGGCACCGGTGGACGTACCACCTTCATCATGTGGACCATGAATGAGCTCGATCTCAGACGCATGCTTCAGGGTACTACCCGCGTTGAGGGCACATTGTTTGCGTATATCTGGAGCTGTTCAAGCATCAGCAATGAATGGTGCTGAAGCAAGACAGGATAGATGCCTCCACCAAGAAGAGCAAGTCGAAGATGGAGATGAGAGAGAGCACCTACACCTAGCTAATCCATGGTCTGTGAACTGAGAGCGGCGGCGGTCCGGCCAGAAACATAAAGATAGTGTCGGAATACATTTCCACCAGACGGGGGGAGATAATCACTGTTCCGGAGAAGGGTAACAATGCTTGAAACCGTAGTCTCACGAGTAACCACTAGAAATAAGTACAGCTTGAAGCATGGAAGGAAAAGCAGTTTCAGATTGGAATGGATCGATTAGAAGCGCCTTTGCTAAACACAGTTTTAGTGTTGTCTGCTCGACGGCGATTCAGGCGATCCAGTCGCATATGTGACACATGGGAGCGATGACAACGGAATGGTGCTTGAGGGAGTAACGAGTGCAAGCGTAGAGTAAAAGGACATATGACGTGTACTAGCAACAAAACAGTTTAGTCGAAAGAGCAGAGAGACAAGGATGAGCGAGCTTACCAGCAAGTAAAAACACCAGAATAAGATATAATATCAATCCGGAGAGTCCGTCGGCGGGAGAGAAATCATCAGCGTGCCCGAAGATTGCAAAGACATCGTTCTCAAATCCAGGAGAGCAGAGGAAGGTGAATGGCGTTAGGACCGGTGACAGGAAAGACGAATGTAAACACAAGAAACCAGCGCAGAGGGGCAGCCAAAAGAGCTAACGTGCTCATTGCGCGAACGACGATCCGAGACCGTTCTGAACGATTGACAGAAATGAGAATGAGCATTGCCAAGGCAGAAGGGATACTCACCACGTCGTTTTGGGGCCGGATTGTCGTCTATGGCAAGACTAATATACGGAAATCTCGACGAATGCCTTGTTTGCGGTATCTTTTATCTGTGCGTTACATGGTACAGCCTAGCGGATAGCACATACTCGATACATGCTACAGTTGAACTACTTCTGTTATAGCCGCTCAGCCGCTTGCAGGTGTTCATGGCACTGGCGGATGTCGATATCGTGGCGTGTAAGCAATTTGCTGGAGAACATCGTGATTTTACGCGTAAACACCATTCGCAGAGTGAAGGAAGTCAAGATACTATCATACAGTTATAAAATCATAGATAAAGAAAGCCTGAGCGGTTTGCTGCACGTGCGAAGATGGACGTCGCATGCCAAGAAGACAAGACGAGGCGACGCGGCATCTGGTCCGGATATCACATTTGGGTGAAGACGCGGTGCGCTTTGATGCATGGTACGCGACACGTTTGTACGAGCTTATGATATAGTTATTCATTTGAGACAACATTCTACGGCCGTAATCCGCCACGGGCCGTGACGTGGATTCCGTCTACTGTACGTGCCCGTGCCCATAAGTGTCCAGCACAAGCCGCCGACATTCACTGGTGTAAGATGCGTGTTACGGATACGGTGGGCATCCCTAGACCCGTGTCATCGTAGCCGTCGTCGTAAGACGTCAATAAGCACTAATCGGCTTGCTGGTCAATGTTTGCGTATAACGGCGTCGACACAATGTGACACGACGAGGTTAGAACTTAGTGGTCACGCCGCCTTAGGTATGTAGAATATGGCTGAAAGGTTCTTGGATTCCGACAATTCTAGCTATATAGGGTTGCGCAGGATACCTCGAATATCGCGCCGTTTGATATTTAACCGGTAATAACTTCGGTTAATAACCGGGTTATTAACACCCCCGCCGAGAGGTAAGTTTTGGGCGGTTATTAACCTATCACATGATGCAGTCATGTGAGCAGGCGGGGCGCGTCGGGGCGGGATCGGTGAGGAGGAGAGTGATTTGTAGGGTAGAGGATGGGCAATAAGCCACTAAACCTCATAGATTCATCAGAGGATAAGTAGAACTCAAATTAGATGATTTTGAAGCGACTGGACAGGTTTCTGAGGGCCTGAGAAGAACATTTTGCTTCGGACCGGAAAAATACGCCACATTGCATCACGTGCGCAGTTAATAACGGTTACTAACAATTAATAACACACCCCAAAATGAGGGTATATTCCGCCGAGGTTACTAACCGCCTCGGGGAATATACTGCGCAACTCTATAGCGATATTCTGAAAGGCTAAAGGCGAAGTTGCAAAAAATATCTAGTGAAGTGTTACTACCTGCTGCAGGACTCGAACCTACATCCATCCAGGCGACTTAGTTAAGATCTGGTGCTCTTAGCAACTGAGCCAAGCAGGCTTATGGATACACCAGGCTCACAGGCTTACAGCCCAACAACTTGGAGTGTTTCAAACAAGAAAATAATTGCCAAGTGAAAAGCCCTGCGGTGGTTCGGAGACCCGTACCCGAACGTGCTGAGTGCGCACACCCGCCTCACGGGTACGGGTCAGCTGCACAAAGGCGCCACACTCGTAGGATGGTTTCATGCCCGTTGGCGGCCCCCCAGCAATTGCGCGGGGGCTACCAGCGTGCATGAGCTGAGCTGATGTGAGTGTGACGTTGAGGTGGGTAAGGAAAGAGGGGGGGAGAGGACGGCGCGGGCGAGGAAGGCGTGAGGTGACGACAGTGCAGGGTTAGGGCTGATGAGCGTGTGTAATGAGCGTAGTGTACGCCGATGTGGCCGTCAGAACGTATAAGAGAAGAGCCAGGAGAATGTACCTTTGTGGCCGGGATGGCGTAAAATCCACCACAAATACGTGGCGCGGGGGCCAATCCGGGGGCTTCAAGCCCATGCACGCGCTGCAGGTAGCAGGTGTCTCGTCCTGAGGGATTACGCGGGGCGAATCCGTGTAGAAACTGTGTCATCGTGAAGACGAGCACCGCAACCCCGGAACGTATCCGAGGGCGCGACGGCGAGCATAGAGCCAAAGAGGGCCAAGAAAGCGAAGCAGAACAAAGAGAAGAAGCTAGACAAGTCCCAGAACAAATTCTGGGGCTGACGAGCACGACGTAGACGTGGTGCTGTGATGGGTGGGAGAAAATTAGAAGCTGTTACGTGTTATGCGAGACCTCAGGTCTTCACTCACGCGGCGCCGTTACATGTTATGTGAAGACATGGTCGTGTTAGTACAGTAGATCTAAGGTTGTAAGCTGGTATAAAAGTTGTCGTAGGTCGTTACAGTAGGATGTTAGTACTGGTCCAAATCAGCAACCAATACTGTATAATTTCAAGCAGATGTTCGCTGGTTGTGATGCTTTATGCAATAAACTTATATCAACTTACTTCATTCACAGGAGTTTGATAAATAAAAGCTCCGATTTACTGTACTAACACGACTGTTAGTTCACATGATGTGTCACAGGGCGCCGTGAACTGAAACTATTTGATTTGCATAACACATAACAACTCAAATTTTCGTGGGGATTGTCCAGCTTGTCAACAATGTGTTTTGAGCACATATTGGTGATCAGTTATTCTGTTCCTACACCACCACTGCACGCGCGCCGCTCCTGGTCTATCTTGGGATGTAGGCGCCTCGGGCTGACATGTTTGAGCCATAATGAACGGCAAGCGACCTTTTGGCACGTCGAGCGACGAGTCACGACAATATATGCCCATTTTCCATCAATACACATTGGCCTGAACTATGTAGAAATACACATGGTTTCCTCATCCTGGAGGCTGAAGCGAGTGTGAACGGCGGCCTGCCAATGCGGATCATCTGGCTTTCGGTAGTCGCACCTAGGTGGGCTGATGTGTTATGCAAGGGCATAAGTTCAGTTCGAACACCCGCATAATGTGTTATTCAAACATAGGGTCAAAAGTATACAGTACAAATAGTTTGAGAATTACTAGCACATACTCATACTTTGAGACGCTGCAAAATTACTGCTCCCACCCCGCGGCCAGAAGCCCTTCCAAAACATAAGTTATGTTGGCCACCACTTCATGCCATTGTCTCCCCAGGGTGTCTGCACGATTTGTCAGTGTATGGTGTTTGTATGGTGTCAGCTCTACTAATGAAGATATGCAATTACGGAAGTGACACCATCTCATCCCACTCAGGTCAATTGGGGTGATGCTCCTCAGCCATTGGGCCGTCCAACACCTCCACTTCCCTTCAATCAGGCTGCATAAGCATGTAACATAGCCAAATGTTGATGGCAAACTTTGTGAGAGTGTTACAGGTGATGATGATAGGTTTAACGGAGTGTAAGTGAAAAGCCATTCCGCATTGTGCCAGGCGAATTCTGCAAGAGGGTGAGTTGCATTCTGGCAAGGTGAATGCTGCAAGAGGGCAGGGTGTGGCTTGATCGATCAGCCCTCTCCGCAAGATGCTGAGGCCCTCTCTCCGAGATGGAAGATGCTGAGGCCCTCTCTGCGAGATGGAAGATGGCGGGGCGCATGCCGCAAGATGATGAGGCGCATTCCGCAAGGTGGCGGGGCCTGCTCCCTCGATCGATTGGCACATTCCGCATGAGGGTGAGTCGCATTCCAGCGAGGCGCATGCTGCAAGAGGGCGGGGCACAGCTCGATCGATCGGCCCTCTCCCCAAGATTGATAAGATCAACATCTGTCGTTCTATGATGTTAATTTGGAGCAGCTCCATATGTGCTAGTATGAGACAAATTGTTGGAGTCTCCGGTGCCTGGCAAAACCTCCACCGGAGATTATTGATATTTGTGCATGCCGCAAGAGGGCAGAACATGCTCCGCAAGATGGCGGGGCCTGCTCCCCTTGATCGATTGATGCATTCCGCAAGTGGGCAGATCGGATTTGATCAACACATTTTGCAAGGTGGTGGGCCCATTCCGGCGAGGCGCATGCTGCAAGATGGCGGAACTCGTTGGCACTCAATTGATTGATCCATTTCGCACGAGGCAAGTTGCATTCCGGCGAGGCCCATTCCGCAAGATGATGCAATGTAACCTTTAGATATAACTCTTTAAAGAGATCCATGCTCCTGGATCCCAGTACCGCTTCAAACATCTGCAGCGGCTGGAAGTTCGTCAATCCATTGGGGTGACATGCAGCGGGACCTGGGTCATTGGCGCAGATGAAACTTGAGGTGAATGCTCAAGCGGACAAGGATGACATTTTTGACTATGTGATCGATACATTCCGCATGAGGGTGAGTCGCAATCCAGGTGAGGTGCATGCCGCAAGATGGTGGGGCCCATGCTGCAAGATGGTGGGGCGGGGGGGGGGGGGGGAGTGTGTGGCTTGATCAATCGGCCCTCTCCGCAA